CAGTGTGATGTTTGTGGCTTCTTCGTATTTCAAATCTTTGACTTGATTCTTGCAATCCTCTAATCTGCTGTTGGATATCTGTATATTACCCTTTATTTCAGTCAGTGTATGCTTAATTTCTAATTGGTCCTTTTTCATATCCTTGAGGGTCTCACTATATTTCTTGGAGGTTTCTAGAAGATTCTTGAGTAACCTTATAACCATGGTTTTGAACTCTATATCCAGTATTTTGCTTTCCTCCATTTCTTTCATTTGTGACATGTTTCTTTGTCTCTGCATTTTGGCTGCTTCCCTGTGTTTGTTTCTATGTATTGGGTAGCTGCTAAGTCTCCTTGAGTTGATAGAGTGGCCTTGTGTGGTAGGTGTCCTATAGGGCCCAGTGGCTCAGCCTCCCCAGTCACTTGAACTGGACACTCTAGGTGCATCCCTTTGTGGGCTGTTCGCACAGTCTCGTTGTAGTTAAGCCTTAATTGCTGTTGGAGGAGTTGACTTCCAGGCCAATTGGCTGTGAGGACCAATTGTGTCTATAGTGGGAGAACTGCTGTGCTGGAGACACCTTTATGGGGCAAGACTTGCTTCAGTGGGGCTTTGGTGCTCACAGAGTCTGCTCCCTGAGTGTGTCCCTTATGGATCTGAGGAGTTGTAATCTGGATGGTCCCACTCTGACCACTGGGTAGATTCCTCCTCTTTGTTTGGGGTTTGGAGGTGCCCAGATGAGGCGCAGCTGTTCTTTTGGAAGCCCTGGCGTTCTCTGACCCAGCTGCAGTTTGACAGGTTTTTAGGCAGAGAAAGGCCAGGCCATTCGTATGCAAAAGCCCCTGCACACAGCTTGGGTGGGGTTGTACATTGAGTGGATCGGGGTCTCAGGGAACCACCAGGGCAGAGCAAATAGCAATGGTTGCCCGTTGGGCTTGGGTCCCTGGGTCTCTGTGTCCTGCGGCCCCATGCAGAAACAATGACCACTGCAAGCACCTCTGCGAGAAAGCCGCCCTCGCGTTCCAGCCTGATGCCAGACAGTCCAGTTTCTCTCCACATGAGTCTGGGTCCCCAGATTCTCGCCCAGAACTGGAGTTCAGAGCACTCGGGAGATATTATCTCCTTCCCGATTGAAAAAGACAACAACGTACCCAGCTGCCAGCCCCTTTCGCATGCGCCTTCATGCCTCCACACTTCCACACCTTTGCACCTCCTGCCAGACTCAGTGCGCTTTTCTCTTTCCTTCTAGTTGTAGAATTTCCACTCAACCAGCCTTCCCGTGATTCTGGATGATATTCGTTTTGTCTTTTAGTTGTAGTTTTAATGTGGTTGTGTGAGGCAGGAAGTTTGGGTGTTTACCTATGCCACCATCTTCCACAACTCAGGTTTGAGAGAACTGATTTTTTTTTTTGCTTCATTTTCTTTGGACATATTGTTTTATTTCTAAAGATGTATCAGTGGCAAAACACAAGTTGCAGGAAAGCCCCTCCTTCCACCAGCCCCACTCCCCCGCACGTATCTGCATGCACACACCCACCATGGTCTGTCCACTCCCTCAGGGCAGCCTCCCACATGCTCCTCCGAGTTTCACTGCCGTCCTCCAAAGAGCCGCTTGTTCAAGGCAAGTGCTATATTGTTCACATTGAGAAAATAATTAAAACCCAAAAATGATGTTGAAATCTATTGTTTTCAGTGGCTCCAGAAATTTCTTTTCCTGTACTTTTGTGGCAATTTCCCCATTCACAGTTGCCCTTAAAGGGGGGAAACAAGCAGTTTTTAGCAGGGAAGAAGAAAAAATACTCTTTCACCTTCCTTAACTAGGTTTCTACAAATTAATTCACCCAAAATTTGATAGAGGGTTTCCTTAGGTTTTTCATGAGAACATGTTTATATTAAAATGGTACTTCATATTTTACAAAATTCACTTTCCTGTTATTTGAATGAATAAGGAGAATGGAGCACCTTATACCTCTGAACATTCCTACTGAAACGTGCCAGTAATGGTTTGCCATTGTGGACGCTTGTGCACTGTACCAACATTGTTGAACTTCCCAAATGGTGGAACTCAATAGTTTTTACAACATTTTCTTGAATATAATGAAAAAGTACTTATATTGTAATATGCTTAGACCTTTTAACTTTAATAAATTATATTGGTTCTAGTATATACTTCATTATTTATTTTACTTGTATGCTATGCTTAAACATATTTTAAGTTTGCCTTCAATTTCCTGAGAAGGGTTTTTTCTCCTCAGCCAAAATAAAATAATATACAGTGAGTCTTGGATCTGGGAAAACGAAAGTTCCAGCTAACAAGAGCTGAAAACTCATCTCTCTTTTCACTGTTATTTTCCTGGAGCCTAGAAACAGTGTGTGACACAAGTACTCAGAAAAGTGTGTGTTTAATGAATGAGATTAAGTGAGTTGCCTTTTCACGGCTTTTGTGAGGTTTATTTTAAGTTCGCTTCTTATGTTAAGTCAAGCATTACCATTACCTTATGCATTATAGCAGAATGCTGAAGAGTGGGACTCAGTGGAATTAAGTGCTTGAATGACCCACAGAGAGTTAAGAACTAAAGGGGTGTTGGTAGGAAATATCCCCTACGTATGCCAAACCCACTAAAACATTCCCACCTTTTGCATCTCCCCCAGGAGCACTCACTGTGGGCCTTGTGCGACAGTGTCAAACAATCCATGGACGAGACCGAACATGCATCCCACCTCGGCTGCCCCCGGAGTGGGTGACCACACTGTTTTTTATCATCATGGGAATCATTTCATTGACTGTCACATGTGGTTTGCTGGTGGCTTCCCACTGGCGAAGAGAAGCTACAAAATATGCTCGATGGATAGCATTCACTGGAAGTAAGTAACCTGTGCTAGTAATTTGTCTAGAAGGCGTGCACACTGGTATTTTTATGAAGATAATCAAGAATCAGTAATAAGGACTCCATAATCATCAGAGAGCAGCACTGATGGCCGTCAGATAGACTGCACAGTCCCATCGGTTCTTCAGAATTCTCAACACAAGACCAGGACATCCAAAACCTTAATTGCTTTGTATGAAATGCTATTTTGATGAATTTTATTTTTGCTAACATTGTACATGAGTGTTTTGAGGTCTGTGACTCAGAGCTACCACTAACCTGAGTCTTTTCCTCTTCTTGAAGGTATTGGTATCTTCTATCAAATAAAGATAAATCTAGATGAAAATCTAACAAATATAAATTAGATTTAGGTGCTGATGTTCTTTTCATGCCATTGATTTTTAGTTTTTTTCTGTCAGCTATATGTGACCATTGAAAAATCAACACATAGGATTATTTTATAATTGTTTCTCAACATTTCTTACTCTATTAGCCCAAAGGTGTGATATATTTATATGTTGCACAGTCCTTTGTATTTTGCAGAATTGGTGTAATTTCAAAATGTCAGAGGCTCAGCCCAAGTTAAAGGAAACAAAAATGTACAAAGAAAAGCTGTTTCTGTAATTTTACTTTCATGCTTCTTTTTCTCTGAAGCACTTTTGCCCCCAGGAGACATTTATCAATATCTGGAAACATTTTTGGTTGTCACAAGTAAAGGGGGATGTTACTGACACCTAGTGAGTGGAGGCCAGGGATGCTGTAAACATCCCTACATCTACGCAGGACCGCTCGACAGCAAAGGCTTCTCTGGCCCCAAATGGCAGTAGAACCTATTGGAGAAGCCACGCTCTAAGGCACAGCGTGGCGGTACTTACGCCACACTACAGGACTGAACTTTTAGTTCAGTGCCTAATCATCTCAGGTTTGCATAAGTTTTTTTTAAGTGACTATTATAACACAGCTTACTTTCACTTGCTATTTTCATTTAGAACTCATAGGCTAGGGATGCGGCTTAATCCCACATATCCCTGTTAAAACTCAATGTATCCTTATAAGACAATAAGATAAGGGTATAGTTCACAAGCTGCTGTCTCCCTCTCTGTGAAACTCTCTTAATGTATGCTTCTAGTTCTGCTTTATTATTGTCTCTATATCTGCTTTATTTTTAAATTTAGATCAAGTTGCTTTTTAAAAATACATTTTTATTGATTTCAGAGAAGAAGGGAGAGGGGATAGAGAGAGAGAAACATTAATGATGAGAATCATTAAACAGCTGCCTCCTGCACGCCCCCTACTGAGGATCGAGCCCACAACCTGGGCATGTGCCCTGATTGAGAATCAAACCCTAACCCTAATCTTAACCTCCTGGTTCATAGGGCAACACTCAACCACTGAGCCATACCAGCAAGGCAGATCAAATTGCTTTTGACATAAAAAAATCTCCATTCTTGTTAAGAAATATGAGACAAGCCCTGACTGGTTTGGCTCAGTGGATAGAGCGTTGGCCTGCTGACGGAAGGGTCCCGGGTTCGATTCTGGTCAAGGGCGTGTACCCTGGTTGCAGGCACATCCCCAGTAGGGGGTGTGCAGGGGGCAGCTGATCGATGTTTCTCTCTCATCGATGTTTCTAACTCTCTATCCCTCTACCTTCCTCTCTGTAAAAAATCAATAAAATATATTAAAGAAAAGAAAAGAAAAAAAATATGAGACAAGGTGATGATCTTTTGTAGGTCGAACAAACTTCCCAAGACAGTTCTTTTCTAGATAGTAGGGTCCAGAGACAGTTGTAGAGACAGTGCTGCTACCTTAAAGGGTATTGATGAGGAATTTTAAGGAAATCTTTACTCACAGGGTATATTCACTTGTTCAGAGAGCATTTACTCTTTATGTAAAATCAAAGAAGAAGCATATAGTTTTTGGATTTAGTTAAAATTTGGGAATACATAAGCTATGAATATGAAAAAAATCTCAAATACAGTTTAGTAAAGTAATATGCAGCAAAGTATTCATTAAGATGCTCACTGAGCCATTGTTTCCTGTGACCCAATAAAGGGAAAAAACTATGATTATGTTGTTTAAGTTTTTAAAATAATATGCATATAATAATGCAAAGTCTATGAGTGTCACTAAATGAAAAGTAAGTCTCATTTGTGTCCCTGTCACCCAGATATCCAATACCCCTTTCCTTGAGGTAACACCATTGTTACTAGTATCTAGCGTTTCCTACCAGAGGTGTTCTAGGCATAAAACCATGTATGTACACGTGAGTGCTCTGTAACTGTATATTCTGTTTATATTATTGTGTCCCTTGGGGTTTTTTAGCTCCAGAATATATATTGGAGTTAATGTCATCTAAGTCAGCACAGAGCTGCATTCCTCTTAGCTTCCTTAAATACATTGTTTTTTGTTACTGGAGCTAATCCACTGGGTTGGCAGTCCTGAGGGGGTTGGGCTCCCCCTAGTGTTTCCATTCAGCCTTTGAAAATGTACTGTTGCCTGTCATCATCTCGATGGCATATGTTTCTGTTCCAGTTAAGCTGTAGTTTTGGTAAGAATGTGAGGGTAGTATTTTCTGTTTGGTTTACACAGCGGAGAAATCTCTCCGAGGAGAGCCACGCATGGTGGGGGAAGGGAGGCAACAAAGGTGCCCTTTTCTTCAAGCCTGACCCCGGTCTCCTCCTTCACCTAATTCGCATCCGCAGCTACCACCACGCCTGGTATTAGCTCTCACCACCATGGAGGGTACCAAGTTATGGCTCTATAGGCTTATTCAGAACCCAGAACCTAATAATCAAAAGTTGATAGATATTATCAGTTAATATTTTAAGATCTAATGTCACTTCACAGGTCTCATGGTTTAAAAGAAAAATCATCTACCCACATTAAATATCCCCAAGAAGTATAGAGAACCCAATATTTTGGATTAAAATCCAAGATTAGATTGAATAGGAGTTGCTTCCTTTAAATTTGATTAAGCTTTTCCTAACCATTTTGGAAAAAGAATTAAGTCTTGTAAAATATTAAACTCTATTTTAAGTATAGTCATTAAACCTTTACTCCATTATAATGGATAGATTTTTATTTTACAATAGAAAATATGAAAGGATAAAAATAAAGTCAGCATATCAATTAACAGAATGAACTGTATATCAGCATATGTCTAAATTATTTTAGTTTTTGAGATTAGAAGAAACAAATTGATTTTAAAACTAATCATATCCCATTGTTTTTATAGATTAAGTTTAGCTACTTAGATTGTAGTTCATTTTACTTACCAAACCATATTAAGGTATAAGAATTATTAGAAATTGGTGACAGGTAATACTGATAAGTGGACATTGGCAGCACTGATGAAGTTATTTATTGCTGACTATACAACAGAAGGACCGAAAGATCTAACACTTAATTACTGGATTTTTTATTTGTTCTATTGTAGGTATCCAAGAGAATCCAAATGTGCTTATGTAACATTTGGCATGGTCATTCGCCCAAAATGAGATAGGCTGCCTGTGTATATAATATAAAATAATCCACCTAAATAGTGCAAAGCAAACAAATGTACTGGTGTATCTCTTGAATTAGTATGTTACTTGAGAAAATATTACTTTTTAATACATTTCTGGAGCTGTTCCAGGAAAAGACTCCCATTTTGACTATTTTTTTGGTTAATTTGCTTTTTTTAAAGTATATTTTTATTGATTTCAGAGAGGAAGGAAGAGGGAAAGTGAGATATTGATCAGCTGCCTCCTGCACGCTCCCTACTGGGGAATCAAGCCCGCAACCCGGGCATGTGCCCTTGACCAGAATCGAACCTAGTACCCTTCAGTCCGCAGGCCGATGCTCTATCCACTGAGCCAAGCCAGCGAGGGCTCTTCTTTTGGCTTTTAAAGGACTCTATTAAGTTTTATTGATTGGCCCCAAAGTAATTTAAGACAAGTGTCATCTGATATGTTTATCCAGGACTGTCACTATGCCTTGGGATGGGTCTACCTTGGGAAAGGTTTCTCATTCAGATTATAACGGACAGCTTCAACTCTTCATATACAATGAGCATAGTAATCTGTCTCCACATTACACTGAGAAATGTTTCTGCCTCCAGCATTGGAAAGACTGTTCACATTTTACCAGTGTGCTTTCAAAAAGCATAAACTGTTTCCTTGGAAAAACTAGCCTATCCGTAGGCAGTCTGTGTTTGCTCAGAACATTTCTTCTATAGCACCAGGGAGCACACTGTTTGCTAAAATAGTGGCCTGTGGAATTACTTCTACTCAGACAGTGGGTTTTCTGATATTTTTCTAGAAACATTTTTAGCAAATATTAGATTTCATTGTGTTTGTATACAAAACTCAAAGGTTTCCCACCCTCCCCCACTTGTGTATATTCAGAAACCTAACAGGTTGGGTGGTTTGGGGGCGGGGGGCTTTGTCCATGATAAGAGATAGCCACTCTGACAGTTTGCTAATCATTGCGGAAGTCTGAGATTCCTTCCACCAGCTGACTTTAAACCAGAGTGAGGTAAATGGTACTTGGATGTACCCTTTCTCTGATTCCTTTTAACTAGTACCAACTGAGAGGAACAGAGAATTGGCAAAATAGTAACTCCAATGACATGCACCATTTATTCAGCGCTTACTCTCAATGTGGCTGGCACTGTGCCAGGACTTGCCAATGTTTGTTTATACTTCTAGCATTTACTTACTTTCAGAAGGGAACCAGAAGCCTAAGATTACACAGCTATTAAGTAGCACAGCCAGAACGTAGCCCTGAATCACCATTTAAGTAAATGGTCAAGAGTAATGCATATGAGTACTTGGTAGGTTTGGGGACCTTTCTTAACGCTGATATTTGAAATTGTCTCAAAAGGCTAATCCAGCTTTTCCTGAATTTAATTGTTAGATTTGGGGGATATTATATGATCTGTAGTATATGCAAATATTTTGACAAGTGGTTTATGTTTTGACAGGTTTGACCATGTTATCAATCCACAACCCTTCTTATAAACTTCCTTTGCGCCAAATTTTCATTGTTTTCCTAATCGCCAAACCATGTTACTAATGTTGTGTTTTGGTTTGTTTTACAGTGATCCTTTTCTGTATGGCTGCCCTAATATTTCCAATAGGATTTTACATCAATGAAGTCGGAGGTCAACCTTATAAATTACCCAACAACACAGTAGTTGGGTCATCATATGTACTTTTTGTCTTATCCATTTTCTTTACAATAGTAGGACTTCTGTTTGCTGGCAAAGTTTGTTTACCAGGCTGATGAATGTCTACATTGCTTGACATTTTAATTATTTTTTATTTTATTTAAATTTTTTATTTTTGGAGGGTGGGGTGGACAAAGGCAAGGCATCTGAGTAGTCCTGGCTTAGAAAGATGCTTAGATGCAACTGATGCTGAAAAGAAGAAGAAGAAAAAAAAAAGCTTTGATTTGTTCTCACTATGCACTTTGGATTTTTTTAAAAAGAGAGCCTTTTCCGTAACCAAATACAGACAATATTGACTAACCCCTGAGCATATTTCCAGGCCGTCGGTCTGCACTGTGGTAGTCGCCTAGTGAGGGAGAGTGCTTTCTGCTGAAAAGCATGGGGCCCTTTGTGACTCTGTTGTTCCGTTTTTAACGTCTAATGGTTCATTTGAGGAAAAAAATTCTAAGTATTTATAAAACATGGTGGACCAGAGGGATGCAAGAGAAGTTCCTGTGGGGCTGGCCTCACCTCCTAAGAAATTAGTGTTCACAGCTTCCTTGTAGTTGTATGAGCCTGTGGCACCAGAGGGGATTGCCATTTAAAGACATTTATTTGCAAAATGTTGTTGTACAGAGGCAGATTGTCTCTGGCTACCTATTAATGGAGTGGGTTGCTGCTGCTGGTGTGTGTGTGTGTGTGTGTGTGTGTTTGCGCGCGCGCGCGTGTGTGTGTAAAGTTATACACACACATGCAAACGGTTCCTAGAAGAGAACTCTGAATGCTTTGCTAGCAAAACACTGTGGTGTGCAAACCTAGAACTCAATAGAAAAAAGCCATTTATCTGAAGGCTGTGTAGTGGAGAGAGTCTTCAGTTTACCTCATTCTTTGTAACAGCCCTTGATTTTAACAGGTTTTTGTAATAGGTACAAATAATCCCGTATCTTTCTAGGTGCAATTTTAAGTTCAGCTAAAATTCTTTGTAGGTTAAGTTGTTTGCATGTGACAGTAGAAGGTAAGACCATGTCAAACCTCGGAGTGAGGGAATTTGGCACAATTTAAATTATGGGCAGCTGTTGTTTGTTGTGCAGAGGTTCTTTGTCTACTGATGTCAGTTCACAA